GTTATAATTAATGCAGATTATTCTGCTAAGTTCGCCCTCATTTGAAGTTCGGTGTTTCTTTGGAAATGATGGCTTTTGTCGGCAGCGCCCAAGATGTATTACTTTCACAGCTCAAAAATGCGTCGGGAGAGTGTCACCCGCTACGACCGCTCTGGGGAAGGCGACGCCCCGCCCGCTAGCCACCGCAACGCCCAGCTTTCATTTCTAAGGGTTTTCTGGCGGTGTGGTTGTCTGCTTATAACTCTCTCCATCCCGTATGAGGAGAGTGACATAAGAGAGCTGGCACAAAAATTTAAAAGCTCTCGAGACCACGCTCTTTTACGGTCCAGCACAGGGTTCTATATGGGCATTTCGGGCGGAATTTCCTGCTTTTCCCTCCTTACAGAACCATATCCCCGCTACGTCACAAGTATTCAAACTCACCATTTGTGAACCCGGTGCGTGCCTTCGGGACCTTGGCGTGCATAGCTGGAGGCCTAGTGAGTGTAACCAAGGCACAGAAATAGGAGTAGAACGTATTACTCGCAAATACTTCATTTCAGGCAAAATTAGAGACAACATTCCAACCGAGTCAGACAAAACATGTTTCAAAAGGATCACTTCCAACTGAGCTCAAATGTAGAATGTACGCCTGACTGTATAGGCAGAGAAGTTGGCCGGAGTCAGACCACTCCCCTCCCCCCATTAACCGTCTTATAATGGTGCTCCTTTCGCATCCGAGCAGAGAGATAAGGCGCGCAAATGTGGAGAGGACAAGGGCATGCTCTCACCGCCCACATAGTTAAGGTGGACTGTGTTTCATCGCCAGACCAACCGCATTCAGTTCCATTGACGTTGAATTACTGTCGAGTAATTATTCCATCCGTCCTTTCCACTTGATTTCATCTAGGAACACACTACAAATACATACACAATACACTAATGCTGACAAAAGAGGTAGTCCTTTTGTCACAGACGCTAGAGCATGTCACGAGAATGGAGGCTGGGTTTGAGCCTCAGGGGTAATGACGAAAGTGGTTCGTATGGATAGGAGGCGAAACGAACCACCTCTACTTCCTTTCTCTACATTTCTAACTTCATCGTTTTGTTCTTCTTTATTGGTACTGCCTGTTTTCAGTCGGTTATTGTTGCTTACCCGCGCAGCACTTCGGCGACGAGGAAAGGGGCGTTTTGCACTTTGGTTGCTTTCCAAAAACGCGTCGACCCATCTGGAGAGCCGTTGAGCTTACAAGGGTTTGCTCCAGCTTCACAAGAGTTCACAGGTTTCACCAAAATGAGACTTGTAAACCTGAACTACTGAAGCAGCGAAGTGCCAAATGCCCCCCCCCGTCACAGGACTGCGCCCTTACCCGCTTCAACAATCAAGCTAGCGCTGTACCAAGCCCACCCTTCCCTCTTCCTTCCCTGAGACGAGGCCCAGCATCTGCAGCAAGAAAGACTAAAGTGTTACATACGTCTATTTGTCTGTTGATGTCTCTGAGTCGTTGTTTTTTCGCTTCAATAAAATATATCGTCGATAAATTAGGTATTACCAGGGTGAGTATGTTGAAAATCTAAAAAAGGGAAAGTTCAAACTGAGACGCTTAGTCAGTTTTTCTCGGGGGGGGGGGGGGAACAAAATAGCCAAAGCGGAAATCACAACAGGTGATCTGGTTAACTTCGGAACGCTGCCAACACATCTTTCTTCGTCTTCTCGGGCGAAAAGCTGTTCAGTGGAGTCCATTTCGAATTTTTGAAAGGAGATTCGCGCGATTGTCGCACCACTGTAGAATGCAAAGGGATAATCTCAGAATTCATGGCGCTCAAGACTTACATCACTTGTACCGTAACTTCAGAATCTTTCCTGAAGTTACGGTATAAGTGTAGAAGGACTTTCGCTAATATCTCCAAGGTCATGCGAATGCGAGTTCTTTGAAACTTCGAAGGACTTGTTCTCTGAAGAGAATGGAAACTCATTTGAGGTATCCCAGCCTATGACTACATAGTACTTGACACACTTCTTCAACGTTACAACAGAGGGCGCCTAAGAAGCCAATTGCCGCTTGCTACTCGAGCACATCATGCACATGACAGGTAACCTTTGGTGTGGCCGCGTGGCGCAATGGATAACGCGTCTGCCTACGGAGCAGAAGATTGCAGGTTCGAATCCTGCCGTGGTCGTGACATTTTAGTGTTGCAATTGAGAACTAGATCACGCGCTAACAATGACGGAACTGAAAAAGGTCTGGTTCTCGAATCGTGCGCCGTGCATTTTACTTTTGCAGATAAATTTGGCAGCATTGAAATGCTCATTGAGTTTCTACAAGATGTCGCAGTGAGCAATGCTGAAGAGTCGTTAGGCATCCGCGGAGGACAAATGGCCTGCATCCTTACAGACGAATGGACGACACCCGGGGAGGGCGTTTCTATGGACTCAGATTTTCATCGTATTGGTGGGCTGTCAAAGGTTGAAGTACAAAGCGTACATAAGAAAAGGCGGATTAAAAGAAAGCTGGCACACCCCTGGACCTTTTTGTCCGGACTGGCAGCTGTCCAAAGACGCGCAGTCGCGGTGTGCACATGACACCCCCATTATGGGGTGGTATGGGCTGCACTTTATACCACTACGTAGGAAAGAGCGTGTCGAAAAGCGTAGGTGTGAGCGTGGCACTGGTCAAATATTCACTGCTCCACGTAATGATATGTAGTTCCACCCATGAATCTTACAAAATCCCGTCTTCAATAATGTCCTCGAATAGAAAATGAGGTAATTTCCGATACCAGTTTGCATGTCAAAAGAATAAGTTTTATTCTTCATTTTTATAAGTGGCACTCTGACAACTCCACAAAATGATAGTTCCACCTCATGTTTTCATGTTTTGTCGCTGCATCTCATTTTCGTTGAGTAAACTGTCTCATCATTGTGACTCTTGCCTTTTCTAGGCTATGGCAAGAGGACATTCATTATCGGACTTCGAAAAAGGACAGATAATCGCAAAGAAGACTCAAGGACTGTCGAACCGTCAAATCGCACGGGATTTGGGCCGCAGTCATCATGTGATCAACAATTTTGTCAAGCAACCTGCAGGATATGGAGTTAAGGAAGAGCTCTGGGCGCCCTCCTTTGCTCTCTGATCGAGGTATGTGCCGTATTTCAAGAGAGGCAGAGAGGAAATAAAGTCAGCTTTGAAGAACAACGTCTCGGAGGAAACTGCTTCGGCGTGTCTTGAAGAAGTCTGAGTTCATTCTCAGGAGGAAAATGAGGAAGGCACCGTTTCTGACAGAAATGCATCGTGAAAAGCGAATCGACTTTGCTAGGAGATGTTGCCGAACCGATTGGAGTAAGGTTAGCTTATGGCAGCGGTGCCCTACTGCTTGTCTGTCTTGCCTTTTCAGTTTTTTCTTCTTCAGGTCGGTCGTGCTTGCTGATGGGGAAAACTCAACCGTGACTTTCCAGACGGAAATCGATCCTACTGGCACGATCTCAGGAAAAAAGCTTCATTTTTCCAGGCGGAACTTCAGAGGAGGTGGTGTTATGGTCTGGGCTGCCATCACATCAACGGGACGTCCAAAGTTGTGTTTCGTTTCGAAGAAAATGAAGTCTACCGATTATCTAAATGTCATCGTCGAAGTCTCCTCCCTCAATCGGTCAGGAGACCTCGATTTCGTGCATGAGAATGCACCAGTTGTTACCAGTTGAAGCACTCGAAAGTGGTTCAGTCGTCACCGAAACTGCTCTTTTGCTCCTGGCCTAGCGAGTAGCCCCGACTTAAATCCAATCGAGGATGTAAAGGGCTTCATGGTGCCTATGATCCATGAGAACAATCGCACAATTGCCTCTTCACGTAAAGCTTTAGGGAATAAGTCGTTTCTGCATCCCGACGAAGCCTATTGAAATCTCCAAATCGAGCATCGGGCCTCCGTATTTTCCAACTAATAGGAGCAATGGAGTTCCAATGGGTTACTGAATCAATAAATTATGCATTTCGTTGTACCAGTTGTCTTTTGGATGAGCCGATTGTTGGTGGAAAGCTACATTTTGTGAATTGTCCCGAGTGTCATTTTTCAGAAAAATGAAAAAGAAACTCACTCTTTTGAGTGTAAATTTGGTGTTGGCATGGTAAAAAACTGTTATTGTAATTAGCCATAATTTCTACTTGATGCATCTTGCAAGCGTCGTGAGACGGGATGGAGGATTATAGGTTAACCAAGTCGGATGCCCGCTTCGCGGCGATCCCTCCTTCCGCGTGTGAAGTGGGTCCCTGGCATTCCTACTGAGGCCCAGTCGGATCGCCCGCCTTCGGCAGCCTTCCAACCTTAGCCACAGAAAAAAATTTTTTTTCTGCAATTCCAGAACATTACCGTTTCACATTTGGTATATACCCCCTAGTGGACGGTTGTAAAATTTTCGTAAAGTCAAGGAGTGAGAAGTGGGAACTGGATGCTCAGTGGAAAACTGAAGTGGTAGTATGGGTGTATTTGGATTGTTGTAGAATAAATAATAGGTAAATAAGTAAATAAACAAATAAATAAATACAAATAAGTTATAAATTTTCGATTTCGACCTCATGTTCACTACTATTCTCATTTGTCTTGAGACAAAGAATAACTTTTCCCCTACATTTGCTGAGGTGTCTCTCCGTTACTTCATCTGGCTTCCCGCTTTCGCCCTTCAAGCACATTACCATCCTTCGGGTTGCTCAGGATACGTTTTAAAAATTTTTATCCATGGCACCGTTCACTTTCCGCCGATGCCCCGCCCATTGTTTGGTGCGACGAGCCTCCGTTACCTGTAGTGTTCGTAAATGTTGTCCCATGCCACAACCATCCCAAGCTTGATCCGTTCGCGCCAAAAATGATTTTCCACACAGTCCCCAATTTTCGGGCGAACACGCAAGCATACAAACAACACACACACACACGCACACACGCACACACAACTTCTGCTTATATATACGGAGAGGCTACTTAGCGGATTATATAGAGTAGGATTAGGGTATCCCCCATTTGAAACAACATGTATGCTTTTAGTACAAATCAATTGGCAATTTTCCTAGCGTTGTATTCTTACTGTTGCGCTGGGCGTGCTTCCACTCGAGCGTGCGATACGCACCGCCTCCACCGGACCCTTTGCACTATTGCTCGGTCGCGGCTGATCACGTGGCGGGAAGGAAGCAGAGGGGAGGCGGTCACTCGTGCCTCCCGTTTGGCTCCCCCACCCTGCCCCCGCACGAGCTCACGTCCAGCTGCCACCCGAGCAGCTCGTGCAATGGCTCGGAGCGTACCGAATGGTTGTCTTATATATGCTGTTATCACAATCAAAACATTGGATTGATACATCTGCACCGAAACCGATAAAATCCCGTGTCTTGCGGTCGTTTTCTCCTTTCACTAACCTGTTTAATCCTGTGAAGCACTTTGCGGACGGACAGACATACAAACCGACATACATACATACATACATACCTACATACCGACAAACCGACACACAAAGTTTCTGCTTTATAGAATGTAAGGATATCATTATGTGGAGAAGTGTATAAGAGGCCTTGCTAGTACAGAGTGTAGACGGGAAATTCAAACAGCCTTAGCGCTCCCTCAAAAACAACAGGTAGGTTGGGCGTTCATACTTCGCGGCAGCGTCCACTAGCGTTTTGAGCGTCCGGCTGCGTCAGCGACTAGGAAAGTGTAGATATGCATCTATCTAGCGTCTGCCAGAATCTGCTTTCTCCAGTTTCTAACAGCGCCAGCGTCTACCATCGTCCAGCAGCTCTCATTGGCTAGGGAAGTAAAAGATAGACGAGCGCCAGCGTCTGCCAGCTTGCACCGGCGTTTACCAGCCTCCAGGAGAGGAGAGTATAGCACGATAGGAGAGTAGCAGACAGCTGTACCCCCTTATCACGCCGCACTCTACCAGCTGTCTGTTACTCTTCTATCGCATCACACTATCCCCTCACGCTGGTGCACGCTAGCAGACGCTGGCAGACGCTAGATCGATATCTGTACTTTCCCAGTCGCTGACGCTGCCGAACGCTCGGAACACTGGTGGACGCTATTCGGTCGCTGACGGACCGCTGCCGCAACGTATGAACGTAGTTTCGAAGGCTATGCCGTCTCTGCTGTAAGCCGCTAGTACTGTACAGATACGAAGCCAACGCTGCCCCGACAACTATTCCTCTGGACACGCCTTCTCGAGAGGTCGCTGAATGGACAGATCACCCAAAGATCAACTTACGTCGGCATTTTCCTTATATGCTATTGCCCTGGGGCTGTCGGATGCAGCGAACCTTACGTATATAACGATACTCTGAGAAATACTGTAGCACATGAATTGCAGTAGTGAAATCCAAAATAATAATTTGGAAGCAAGTAAGTTCTCAGTTGACTGGAATTTCAGAGATAGCGACGTCCTGAAATGATGTTTGTGCTTGGTTTTCGTACAAACTTTCACAATCGGCTGAGTGCTTATCATTTTGCAAGATTCACACTAGAGCACACTCCAGTTGGGACGTAGATGAGGGAGCGAATTCAAGGAGATACACTACAGTCTGCTCGTCTACGACCCCCAGAATGTTGGTGCTCAATCAGTTTGGATGATGTCAGTAAGAGTGCAGACAAACAGAGGATTGGTGCGATCGCGCCTCGATCACTGCCCACCATCTTCATCTACAGCGCTCTTGGGAGAGTCGAATGAGGGCGCTCCTACGTATAAAAGTGCTGGCGCGGTGCCAGGCTACTTCTATC